TGGAGTGTTCTTTTTGTAATGGGAAGGCCAGCTACAGGACTAAGTAATAAACTGGAGATCCTTTGTTGAGGCTGCTGATTCTGAGGCTGTTGCATCAGTCCTTGGTTCCTGGTGACTCTCTGGAGGGTAAACATAGCTTGTGCTGCCATGGAAGGGACTCGAGACTGCTTAACAGGGCCAGGTAAAAGCCTTAGCTTCTTCATCTTAGCATCTTGTCTCTCCCACCTAATTCCTGAAGGACTACAGACACTGATTCTGTGTAAATTATGTTTTGTTTTAGAAGTGAGATAGGTAGCTGTGTTAGTCTGAAGTCAGAAGGAACGACAGATATGTACCTTTACAGACTAACTAAATAAGAGAGAAAGAGAGAGAATACAAACTTCTGTGAACTCAAGTTCACTTCATCAGATGCTATGAAAGGACAGCAAAAGGCAGAGTATGAAGTAGAGCGAGTGATTATAATTAGGGACCTACTTAAGATTTCATAGATTTCATAGACATTAGGGCTGGAAGGGACCTTGCGAGATCATCGGGTCCAGCCCCCTGCCAAAGGGGCAGGAAGTCAGGGGAGGTCAGATCACCCCAGCAAGATAAGCATCCAAGCATTTCGTAAAGCTATCCAGAGTAGGTGCTTGCACCACTTCTATTCCAGACTCTGTAGACTCAGACACTAAAGAAGTTTTTCCTTATGTTCAGTCTAAAACGGTCTTCCAGCAATTTGTAACCATTAGACCTTGTCTTCCCTTGGGGTGCCCTGGTGAACAGATGTTCTCCCAGTTCCTGATGCACATCCCTTATATGCTTATAGGCTGCCACCAAGTTACCCCATAGCCTGCGCTTCTCCAGATTGAAGAGCCCCATGCCTCTCAGCCTCTCCACATAAGGCCTGTTCTCTTGACCTCTGATCATGCGTGTGGCTCTCCTCTGGACTCTCTCAAGCTTTTCCGCATCCTTTCTGAATTTTGGAGCCCAAAATTGGATGCAGTACTCTAGCTGCGGCCTCACCAAGGCCGTGTAAAGTGGGAGGATGACTTCCTGGGTCTTCCTTGAGATCCATCGGTAGATGCAAGCCAGAGTTTTATTTGCTTTGCTGGCTGCGGCATTGCATTGGTCGCTCATGTTCATGTTGTGGTCAATCATGACTCCCAAGTCTCTTTCAGTCGTGGTGCTAGTGAGTGTAGCACTGCCAAGCCTATAAATATGATGTGGTGATTTGCAATTTTTTAAATTGTGGTTTTGAAATTTTTGTGGGAATGGTGAAAAATGGCAGTTTCCAGGATCACTGAGAAAAATGGCATTTCCCATGATTTTGCACAGAATTTCCCGGAAAAAAATAAAAGCTTACCAGCATACAAAGAGAGCACAGAAATCCCTGCAGTCATAGAGCACAGGGTACTCAGAGGCTGAGCTAGTAATATAGATTCAGTGAAGGTGCTAGTCAGAAAAGTGAAAGGGTTTTGGCACCACCTTTTAAGAAGCCAGATGCAATGCCGCAGTCTAAAGATGAGTATTTGGTCTCTTGGCCAATCAGCAGTGAGGGGTGGGGCCACCAGGGCTCCTTGGCCCATCAGCAGCAAAGCGGGGGTGGGGGCAGGGCTCACCGCATAAAGACCACAAAATCAACTCCATGCATTGCAAGTGGTCCATGAAAAATCCCTTTGTCTCACTGCAATTTAGGTAGTTCCCTAACTATAATGCAGTAAGTGGGAAAGCAGGAAAGAGAGTGATAGGATGGGAGAGGGAGTGGAGATTTGCTGCGAGAGGCATACAAGCAGCGAACCAAGAGGACTAAAGGGGTCACAAAAGCTAATCCAGATAATGATATAATAATTCATAGTCCCTGTTTAAACCATACTTAACCCAGTCCAATTTGCGGATGATTTCTTGTGCTGCAATTTCCTGCTCAAACTGGTTTTAAATTTTTTTCTGCCTGAGAATAGCAATCCTGTGGTCAAAGATGGAGTGACCAGGAAGGTTGAAGTGTTCTACCACAGGCTTTCATGTCTTCCTGCAGTTGATATTAGATCAGTGTTAATTCATTCCTATGCTGAGATCGCCCTGTCTGTATGATGTCGGAGTGCCAGTAAGATTCACAACAGCTACCTGAAACTCATTGCGGCTTGTAGGGTTGGGCCTTGGACTGTAGGTTCTTTCAGACAAAGATTGGACCTTGTCATGTGTGTATACCACACTTAGGACAGTAAGTCCGGATCATGATAAATAATATTTTCTGCAAACATATCTTACTGTTAGTGAGTAGATTCTTAGGCAGAACCAATCTGAACATTTCCACATGAGATATGTACACTTAAGTCTCAAGAGGATTGCAGCTGTTTCAGAACCTCTGAATGCCAGGCCCTGTGCTGTTTTTTGAGTCATCAACACCAAGTTGAACTGTACTGGCTATCATCTTGATGCTGATGCCTCTTCTACCTGCCCCTTTCACATCTCCAGAAGTTTCAGAAAAATTCAAACTCTTTGGATTCACTCCAAAGCAAGAATATTTATGTAATAAGCTTCAGAGGCATATTGAAATTCAGAGTCATGGGGTTGGAAATGTATTTCCCCCATAAAAGGACACCGTTAAGTGTTTCAAAATAACTTGCCAGTGGCAAGAACACATAGTCTCTTAAAAAGAAAATTACAGCTGTAAAGCCACAATTCCCCATCTTTTTGCAAAACCTACGAACTTGATTGAATACCTAATCTCCCTAATGCAATTTAGTTGGCAACACTGGTGGGTTATGGAGGGCAGGGCACACTGACTCAGTGCATTGGAGAAGGGACATGCTACAGTGCCATTCAGCAAAGACTCTGTTAATCATCTGGGCCGTCTCCTTTTAATTCAGACATCTCTGTCTCTCCGTTCTGTTCTTCCGTCAGGTTTTGCAGACTCGAGTAGACAGATTTATTGGGGTCTTAAACTTAATCAGGAACAAATTAGCCTCTGTAAAGTTCACACACTGGTCTGGATCACAGCTATTCAAAGGCTGCTTCCTCTCCATGTGAATATGAATGAAGTCATCTGATTGGAGCAGATCTGGAGTATTCTTTTATCCCATACACATGATCTTATCAGAGGCCTATTACATTTATCATGTCATTAAGAGGGAACTTTTGGAGATAGCACAGGAGAAAGCTTGTTTTATAAATGTATTTATTTCATTGCTATAGTGGGAAAAAAATCTGTGTTTGCAGGTCTGTGAGGGGCATTGTTTCTAAACATCTAGATGTATTATGGGTGTGTGGATGGACACAATATATTTGGTTGGGAGTGTAAGTCTGTGTCAGAGGCAGTATCTGCATATAGGACTAGATGTTTATGTGAAACGTATATGTATGTTTGCATGTCTGTCAGAGTTGGGGTTTTCATAGGCATGATGAGTACAAAGAGCGCGACTGTGTCCTTCTGTATAAATTTGTCTATCAGCGTGTGTCTGTGTGAGAGTTGCTTGTGGAAATTATGAGGAATTTTTAAGTCTTTTTCTATTTGCACTTTTAAAAAAAGTTGCAAAGATTTCTGTTCAGACCCTCACCTTGCCTGAAATTTGGAGATATCATTAACAGGAAGCTGTTTTGCAGCTTTAATTTCTTCATATCAGAGTAGCTCAGACCATGCAGAGAGACATGCAGAAGTTTTCAGTGCTACATTGAAGGAAAAATCAGAACTAGAAAAAGAGCTGAAGAGGGACGAAATGCTGGTACCCCTCTTTAAATGGGTTAAGGCTCCAATCCAAGTTGCCTATGGAGGTCAGGATGGAAGTGAAAGCAATCTCTGTCTTCCATCTTTCGTTCTCCACCTGTCACCCTCCAGTCTTATGACCAGGCATACTGTTAAGGAATTGGAAGTTTATGTCAGGGGCAGGGGAAAGCAGGGTGTAAGGTCATTAAATGATTGAATTGTAATAAACTGATTTATTCTGGCTCATGTTGTGGTATTTTACTGTGTAAACTAGGAGGAAAAATAAACAGGGGATTTAGCAGTTTGGACGTAACTCAAGATTGAGCAGCCGTTGGATTTTCTGACACCTACCCCAAGACAGTCCAATGTTACCGACACGATTCTCATCAGGAGTTATTGCCATCATTCCAACTAGTAGTCTCTGCCAGTTCCCTACCATTTTTGCAGTAGTTTCTTTGCCAGACAAAAATACAACCGTCTGTCAGGCCTGGATACCTTGGGGGGTTTACAATGATAACATGATACAAAATTAAGATACCAGTAGGTCAGAGGTTTACATTTCACAGTGGACTTTAGTGGCTTTACTAGTCTGTGGTCTTTTTGAAAGTAGATGGGTCTCAGTTCAGTTTTTAATGGGCCTGTTTCACAGACACAGCCTCAAAAAATTGGCACTGGTGGACATCTTTGTTGGCACTCTCATTAGAGAAGCCACAGAATGAATGAACAGGGAAACTAAAGTCCCCTCTTATATCTGATCCTTTCAGGTCAAGTCTGAGTCATTTTGGTTGGGGCAGTGTGTGTGGCAAGCTTAGCCTCCTTCTACCCACACTGTATCTGCTCTTTGGATAAACAGATAAATTTGGCCTTTGGTTTCTAAGGCTGTTAATTTGGCAGCTTTCATCCTCACTAAATTCAGCTGTTGTTGTTTTGCAAGTGTCATTTAAACAGGAAACATTGAAAACCAAATTCTCTGTTGGCTTAAATCCATGGTAGACAATGGAGTTATGCCAGCCATTTGTCCCCGTTCTATCTTCTAGTTGTGTGTTGGTACAGTGGATGCAGGTAAAAATAGGCAGGGAGAACTTCAGTTGGGAAATTTCTTGGGAACTTTCATATGGCAAAAATGCTGCAATCCATTTCCTTTGTTTTCTTAAATCATCTCATGTTGCACTGGTAAGTAATGAATGCCACTGCAGTAAAAGAGGCCTGGTTGAATGGATACGTCACCACTGACATTGCCTGGATTATTTTCTGTTGCTGGGGACCCAGAGAATTGGAAGAATCTTAATAATGATCCTTCTTTGATTTCTCACTGCAGATGAACCTAGCAGGTGCTACTTCCATGATGGTGATGGAGTGTGTGAAGAGTTTGAACAAATGACTAGCATCAAAGACTGTGGTGTTTATACTCCCAAAGGCTTCCTGGACCAATGGGCTTCCAATGTGTCAGTCTCACACAACAATGACCAGCAGTGCCCGGGATGGGTGGTCATTGGTCAGCCAGCAGCTACACAGGTAAGGAAGTCAATAACGCTCTTCAGTGCCAACCATGAAAAGCTTGCAGTTGACTTGTAGGGTTGGTAAGGAAAGCTTTGTGGTGCCAGCTCTCTTCCCTGTGAGCCTGCTGCATAGCAGTGAGTTCCAGATTCTGTGTCTAGTGTCCATGCAGGAACTTCTAAGGTGGATGAAGCTGGTAGTCTGTCTGATTAAGTCTCTAAGAGTAACTAGTACTTATTTATTTGCATTTATTTATTTATATGCCCCTTCCTCAAAAGACGCTCAGGGAAGCTTACAATGAAAATAAAAAAACCTGCAACATGAGAGGAAGAAAAACCTCCAAGAAGCAGTCATGAGATAACTGATCTCCAAGGAGAATTTCCTCCAGACCCTGTTAGTTAGAATCAGCTTATGCACCATAGCTTCCAAAACTTTTGCTGGTTTATAACTTTTGTTATGGCACTGGTTAGGTTCACAGTATTTGGATCTTAGGGAACATTGACTTTGCAGCTGAATATAAGGCTATAGCCTGTGGCCCAGCAAAGCTGCTAACCACAAGGCAGAATGATATATTAAAAGTAACATTGCAAGACACTTAGGCAAGCATTTTCCTAACAACGGCATAGTGTCGTAAGATATTTAGCTCATTGTGTAAGGAGAACGGTATGCAGCCCAACAGCTATCATCGGGATATAAAGCAAAAGTAAGATCTTGGAGATGAAGAAGGAGTCAGCAAGAAACGGCAAGTAACCGAAGGAAACGGAGGTCAGAGTCTTAGGCACGCGCTCATAGCAAAAAGGCTGTAAACGAGTAAAACGCATAGGTAATTCCATGCTAATGAAACAAACAGTAAACAGGGGTTTAGCTTGAGATAAGAGGGAATATGGGTGGAACAAAGGAGGGAAAAAGGTGGAGTAAATGTTAATGAGTATGAACCAAGGTGTATACATGTAGAAAGAACTAATGTTTGTGGCTGCTCCCCAGTTTTTTGGGAGCTTGCCCAAAGCTGTCTCCATTTTGAATAAAGTTGTTGCTAGCAATGTGTGCTGGTGTTTGCTCTCTGAGCAACTGGATCATCGTCTCCCTAGTCATTGGACACCACATGGAGTCGGGGTCTAACAGCACTGAACATGCTTGTCATCCATTTTCATAGCTAATCCTTCATGGGATCCTGATGAATTCTTGTCTTCAGTACTAGGTTGTGGCAATGAACTGCAAAAGCTAATTGTGTTATATGACAGTTGGGTGCATCTACACATGCACTTTAATGTGAATTAGCCTTCTTTAATGCGCATTAAAGCTTCACTACAAAAACCTGTGCTGTTGGGGGAATGCATATTAAAATAGGCTAATTAACATTAAGTGTCATTTAAAAACCATGCTGTTTTAGTTAATACGCATTAAGACAGAATAATGCACATTTTCTTAGTACTTCACAATGGAGGGCACTTGCACATATGCAGGGAGGCTGCTGACATGCGTAAATCCAGTGCATTGAAGCAGATTCGATTAATCGAGCACAGGAGTTAACATGCTCCAGCAGCCTCCAGTGTCGTGTGTATCAGTGTCCCTGCACTGAAAAATGTTGGCGAGGCACTTTGAATTAAAGCTCGTCAAATGAGCTTTAGTTCAAAGTGACCCACCACCCTTTTTTCAGTGCAGGGGCACTGATACACACGATGCTCGGGCACTTTTAATTAGCACAGCTCTCTAACTAAAGCCACCCCATCTCCCAGAGCACATCTATAAATGCCTGGAGGAACTAGATTTAATGCACCTTAACTAAAGCGTGTTAATGCACATGTAGATGCACCCAGTGTCTTTTCTCCTGGAATATTTTCATCTGTTAGCTTCTGGTTTCATTGAATATCCCTAGGTTTTGTATTCTGAAGAAGGTCCCTTCTGCTCTTCTGATCAGTTTTCCCTCTATCTATTGTTCAGTACTTTGTATACTTTCATCATGCTTCTTCTTACTTGTCTCCTCTCTAGGATGATTAGCCCCAGCTCCCTAACTTTCCCCTTTATTCTCCTAATAGAACTAGACTTCACTATCTGGAATGGGGCTTGAGTGAGCAGTGAGGAGGGGAGAGGTAATGCCATACATGGGATAAGCAGATCTCTCTCCAAATGCTTCCAAGTTGCCCTGTCAGTGGGAGTGTATACACATGTAATGAATGTGACTGAATAAACTCTGGCGCAGTTTGAGCTGAAGTAAACTAATGTGGACATCACTGTTTACATGTGCATTTAAGCACAGTGATTTATTTCACCGTCGGATAGTACTTGTGTCTGATGGGACTATTCAACAGCACAGTAAATTAGTCTACAGCAGACTAATTGCTACACACGTGTAGATGGTGATGCTTTACTGTGCAGCAAATTAGTCTACTGCACAGTAAAGCGAATGTGTAGACACACCCAGTGAGAACATCTTTCTCCAAAAACTTAGCCCTATTTCTATTTCACATGAGTCTGCAACTGATTAGTGATATGCAATATGCCTGGGTAGTACTGGGTTAATACCAGGGCAGTATTTCACTCTTGCCAGCAACCTAAGATCACGTGCAGTTGCCTTTTTTCATATTTATGGTTTGCTTTCTGAAGCATAGAAGGAACTCCCTCATGGTGCCCCTGTAAATGACTTGGCTGTTCTTTCTCTTTAGCTCTCAGTGCATTAGTACATTTTAAAGCACAATGTCTTATACACAGGTGATGAGCACATGGCGGGAGGATGTCCATCCTTAACATTGACATTATAGGATTACAGCTCTGATTTTGCAATAATTCCTCAGTGCAGGTAGACTTCATTATCTACCCAGAGCACCAAGAACTGTGATTTTCTTTAACTGAGATGACTGACTGGGTGTGTGGGGGAGGAGGTGGTAGGGGCACCTTTCTCCACCAGAATATTATCCAGAGGTGTGTGTGTGTGTGTGTGTGTGTGTGTGTGTGTGTATTCTCAGTTACACATTTCTCATGTTGTTGTTATATGTATTTGACTGCAATCAGAGAAACATTTATGCTGGCTTTTTTGTAGTGAATGGGAAGTGACTTATGATCAAGCTTTGATGGGGTGGGATTACAATGCCTGCTGCATAGATATAATTCCAGTTTCTTTTATCCAGGAAAGATGAAGTTGTATTGTTTGTATTTGCAGATGTGCTTGTGTCTCACTTCGATTCATCCCTTCTCCTATTGGCTGCTTCTGCAGAGATAACAGCCTGCTACTTACCCCCAGCAAAAGCCATTTCTAAATCACTACGGCTAGCAGGAGCTTCTGCTTTTGATTCTTAAGGTTCAGTGTATAGCCTTGGAATTGGTGTAAATAGGGCTGCATTCCCCTGATTCCAGTTTAGATGCATTAGGTTTATTGAACTTCCTTAAACTAAAGTAATATATGTGGGGAGCTTTTGTTTTCCACAAGAACAAGGTAGGTCCATAGCTTGTGAAATGGTTTCTGATTTATCACTCTGAAGCATTTAGATCAGACAGCAGGCCATCAGTCTCTTAACTAGAAGCTCTGACAGGGTGAAAATTAACCTAAGACCCCCTCTAATCACTGCATGTGAAGATCAGTGGAGCATTAACACCTTCTGCTTCATTATCTACCCAAAGCACCAGGGCCTGTGATTTTCTTTAACTGAGATTACTGATTGGGGGGCAGGGAGGAGGTGGAGGCACCTTTCTCCACCAGAATATTGTTTAGAGATGTGTGTGTGTGTGTTCTCAGTTACACATTTCTCATGTTGCTGTTATATTTATTTGACTGAAATCAAAGAAGCATTTGTGCTGGCTTTTGGTAGTGAATTCCCTGAAATATATGTGTAGGTGTGGTCTGTAGTAATACACAAAAGATATAAACTCAGTGTTTGCTAGCAATCGATACTTTCCATAATTACATCAGCTCAGTACAGGTGCTTTTAAAGCATTTTAAATACTTATTTTAAGGATCACTTAGATTTTTTTTTTTCATCCCTGGGTGTTTCAAAACCTGTGTTCTCACCACAGCTGTACTTCAATCATAGCTTACAAATAGGTTGCTTATGAGTAATAGGCCTTGCAAAGCTGTTTGTTATTGTAGTGTTTTTCATAAGTATTAGGCTGCATGAAGTCGTTTGCTATTCTGAGTTTGTTTTTGAGCAACACTGGACCCCATTTGCTTGTCATTGTAGGGTTGGTTCTTCATATCGATTTGCTCATGAGCACTGATTTATTGTTGTGGGGTTACTCAGGAGTACAGCTCAGTGGTAAAATACCAGGACAAAAAGAGATTCTACGTTGTAAGACTTGTTTTGAACAACAGAATACTTGTAAAAAAATGACACAGTCTTGGCGAACAGGTATAATTTAGAAAAATGGAAAGGTCAAACATCCCCACTTTTAAACAATCACGCTTTCCACAAAGGCAAGAAACGATAGACAGCCACTTCTGCTTTCCTGGCAGTCACTGTTCAGAACTGATTAAGAAATATTCTCAGTACCGACAGCATCACATTTAAAGCCAAGTAGGACCAGTCAGGAATACGGCACCAATGCAAAACTACTCACACCTACACAGGGTATTTTCTTGATTTCTATGTTGTCCCCCGCTGGGAGCATTTCATTCAAACACAGCTAGGCACCTATTATTGACAAGATAAGGAATCCAGGGGGGATTTTTACACTTGAGCAAGTTTTCTACCTACAGAGCTTGCTGTGACCTTATAAGGATCTTCCTTTTTCCGTAAACTCTTTGTGAACTATTAGTGTGGATGTTTTGTGAACATGTCTTTTTCTACAGCAGTGCTTCTCCTCCGAACTGGGTGGGTCTACATGGGATGCTTTACTGTGCAGTAGGCTAATGTACTGTCCAGTAAAGTGTCACTAAGTAACCATGCTAATAAGCTACTGCACAGTAAATTAGTCTACTGCTCAGTTAGTTAGTACCTGTAAGTACGAGTACTAAACTAACTGTGCAATAGATATGGCACAGTAGGGCTCTTGTAGATGCTAACCAGGAGCAAATTTGCTCTGGGTCA